ACATAGCAAGGTAGAACCGTTCTCTCAATTTGTCGGCCATGATTTTTTATTTTAAGTTTGCCAACATTTTAAAATCATATAAAAGNGGTTTGTTTTTATTCATTTCGTCGACAATGTGTGTGCGAGTTTGTGAGTAAATTTAAAAATTAAATTGTTTTGTAACGTCAAGAATTTTAAAAGTGACTCTCAGCGGTTCTACCTTACTATATTTTTATCATGATTGAAAACAAGTTTCCCATTCCGTAGCAGAATAAGAGTGGGTTAGTGGAAAATGTGAATGTATTGAAAATTGAAAGGGAAAGCTGAACGTGTAACGTCGAAGTTCCAGTCAAATATCAATAATGTGGTTGTCACGAAGCTTTCGTGAAAAAGCGTGGGGCGCTCTTTGACATATTTTTCGTCTATCGAGCAACCCACACTTTTTCACAATAATAGTAGTGTAACATTTAAATTATTTTTCACAATCAGCTCCGCGATTGAATAATGCTCGTACAGCATCGAAATGATTATTTTCTACTGCTAAAAGAAGTGGCGTATTGCCAAATTCATCTTTGCAATTAATATCAGTACCGCGGTCAAGCAGTGGAAGATAGCGTTACATCATTTATTTTCAGCCATAGACGGGATTTGAAATCATGTCTGGTAAGTTCGTTGTCTCGCGCCTACGACTTGCGCCTTAGCCCGCTTGGCCAACTGTGCAACTGATAGGGGTAGAATGTATTAACACTAATAAGCTGAGTGCTCGAGTCGGAAAGTAAGTAGACGGTACGCGTGCGCAGACACCGTAGTTGTCTCACTTGCTCTCACAAAGAGGCTGTGTGAGGAAATTATTTAATCCTGGCGATCCTAATCAGGATAATGAGATAAATTTATGAAATTATTATATTGTCGCTGATTCTTGATAAGTGTACAAAGCTTGAATTAAATCTGTCCGTTTAAAGTGGGTCAAAATCGAGTCCAAAGGAGTCGGTTCCAAACATACAAACANATACAGGTGAAGCTAATAAAAGGGTGTTAAAAACGGTGATACTTTGTTTCAACCTCAAGAACAAATGTACCAGTTGAACTGGAGAACGTAATTAATTTTTATACTAAGTACCTATGAATAGTATGCAGTACATAATACTCACATCTGTAAAAAGAAAATTTTGAGTAATTCGTTCGGATTTTGAGGATTTTGCATTTGTTTTTGAGGAATTTGGTAATATTTTTGTGGCAACACTGGAACAAATGAGCTATTGCGTTTATTCACAAGCCTTTCAGATTCATAATTGTAAGCGAAACGAAGCAAGTTAGCAATATGAATTGGAGCTCATAAGCACTGTTGCCAACTTAGTGCTTTTCGCACTAAATTTAGTGCTTTTCTTAATTTAACACGCGAAAATTTTTGATTTTGGTGCTTGGTGCGTTTTTTGGTGCTTTTTTTTTAGTTTGAAGACACCAAAGACTGTAAATCTGAAAAATGTAAGTTAAATTAGAGCAATTGGAAGTTTCGTAAAGAACTTTACAAAAATGGAAATAACATCATGGCACAATGACAATCATAAGCGAAAGAGCATCTGTTTGTCAAAAAAAAAATATGTTGCAGCACTTTCAATCATACCAGAATTACATACGGTAATTTGCCATTGCCTGCAAAAACGTCCATGTTGCTGGGACCAGGAATCGATTTTTAGACCCTTAATTTGGGGCTGAATTTGTTATATTTTTTACGAATATTAAACAAAGCAATAGCATCTCCTAACAGTAAACTGAATAATCGAGTAGGCAGCTTTTTTTAAACAAAACGATTTTTTCCACTATGCGCTTCACTTTAAAAAGGGGAAACTTCCACACTTCCACATAATTCCTGAAACTTCATTTTTTGTTGTTACTTTCGTTTGATAGGAATTGTAGAAAAAATGAAGCAAAACGAAGAAAAATTTATATTTAAACAGCGCAAATCTAAGCGGAACGCAACGCGGGGCACAGCTGCAAATTAGAAAATAAGAACAAAAATGATTACGCCGCGTCGTTTGGACGAATATATTTGAATTTATAGTAAACAGAATAAATTCGACCGCCGAGCAAGAAACATTAATTTTTATTAATTTGAATCGGCATGAAATTTTAAATGCATGCAAAGTCCATTAACTCCTCCAATAAAAAATTTGGTGCTTTTTTCGAGAAAAACGCGATTTTTCTTGGGTTTTAGTGCTTTTTCAAACTCAAAACTTGGCAACACTGCTCATAAGCCAAACACTTGTGATTACTTGCTCAGCACAAGCTCACTAGCTCACAAGCCGGCGCTCTCTTCTTCATAACAATAACCGTGGAAACACAATGCCGGCGAACGCGAAAATTTATTCAAAATTAGAACACCCGCCGGCATATGAAGTTGAACACAGCCAAAGCGAAATGCGAAATTCGCTCGGCGGCGTTTCGTGGCGATAGATTTATTTCTATCGCTCTGCTGGGCGATGGCGGCAGTACATGCTAAAGGTGGCCGTATGGTTTTTTACTTTCAAAACTTTACAAGAATCCAGCATGTAACACGAATTATTTTTGATGGTTTAAAAATAAAGTGATCGATTCGTTAAATCTGGCTTAAAATAAAATAATTTATAATAATTTCAGTAAAAAAACTGTGGTGAAGTCTTTATGGGGATAAAGTTTCCAGAGGTGAAATTTTAAGTACCACATAATTTCTTACACCCAGGGTTGCTTTTCAGCAGTAATGAAAGAAACTTAAGAAATATTAAAAAAAAATGCATATATGCATTAATTTTAAAAAAATCCATATAATGTATGTGCTCTGATTAATAATATTAAAAAATGTATTAGAACCATCCTTCAATGTTATATTTGATACAAATTATTTTGCTACTGAAGACTTAAAATTACATCCCTGGTCCTTGTTCTTTCTGTATTGCATTGTGGAGAATACACATTTCTCAGAAATTTGACAACAAAACAAAATGAAGGGAGTATTTTATTTTCCAATTTTTGCGATTTCTATTGTTTAATGTAAATTTTATGTATTTGTAGGATATTTTGAGGCAACAAAGAAGGAAGTTGGAAAATGAAGTTATTAGTATAAGTAGCATCTCAGGCACATTTGGAAAATTATGCCTTTAAGCAAGATGGAATTTGGGAAAGCAAGTGCCTGGTTGCAGCATATCTATGTATTAAAAAAGTAATTAATTAAATTAAATTGTGTTTAATAGAAATGTTATAAATCGCGTGGCGTTATTTAAGATGTGCTCCGAATATTTGGCGAACTTTTTTTTCGCCTTCTCAACGTGCTAAGTGACAAGATAAGATGACTGCCACCACGGCCGGTAAGAAGCCCGAAGCAAAGGTAAAACTACCTTCCAGGAAGCTGCCTGCTGTCCCCGAGTCGAAGATGAAGTAAGAAAGAAGCAGGTCAGCAAACGTGCTACCCTGATCAAGCGTAAACTAAAGCGCTTGCTGTGATTGCACTCTGCAAGCGTGAAAACTTGGAGCATGCTGAGAAATATCAAGCAAAATATCTCCTGATGAACCCCGTGAGATGAAGTTGCGCCCGCAGAATGGCTTTTGTATCAACAAAGTTGCACCAAAAGTGCGTAAAGTTTTACTGTGGTTCCATCTTTGCCACATTAACAACGGTTTGTTCATCGAATTGAACAAGGCAACCATTAATATGCTACGGATTGCCGAACCCTATATTACATGGGGCTATCCAAATCGTATACCAGTTCGTGAATTGATCTACAAACGTGGAATTGTCAAGCGTAACCATCAACGTGTCCCAAACTCTGACAACTTTGTGATCGAACGCAAATTGCACAAAGCGCACGATATTCAGTGCGTTGATTATTTGGCGCACGAAATATTCACTGTTGGATCCCACTTCAAGAAAGCCCCGAACTTACTGTGGCCACTACGTTGAGGTTGGTGATTTCGGTAACCGTGAAGATAATATCAACAAACTGCTGCGCAAGATGGTTTAAAGAAATTTTCTGGTGTACAAGGTGAAGTATTTTTATTTCAAATAATAAAAAAAATAAATGTATGAAATGAAGTAAATAAAAATCTAAGAATATATTTCTTGAATATTTTGTCATAGAGCCGTTATTAAATAAAGACACAACTGCGTCGGGCGTTGGTCCTGACGTATATAGAATTAATGCATTAGAGAGAGATAATTATACAAGCACAACGTGCTAATTTAGTTATACTAACATATGTAAGTATTTACCTGTTACTCGCCTGGCATATACTTCAACTGCGAAAATAATGACAATTATAATTTATTTAGATGCATATTTTAGCTAAATGTTATATCGTCGAAGATAAAAGATCGTTGAATGTTACTTTCGGCAGATTTCGGGAAATCACAATTGAAGTTTGGAATGCAATTTCTCAGAAACTCGACTACAGATTTTCTCCAAAGTGTCGGAGAATGCTATGTACTAGTTCACGAAATTCTTAAATTATCTTATTTTTTAGTTTATAAAAATGAAATAAAAAAAAGGCGTGAGTACTAGGTACTCATGAAATTTGATGTGTAAACATATGCGAACGGCAAAGCATAAAAGTACGTTTACATATAAATATAATCTCAATCAAAGCTCGTTAGCTGTCAAATTGGTTGTGCTTGTTATTCACACAACTCGAGGAAAAGTTAAACTTCTTCTCTGTGCC